TTAAAAAAAAAAAAAAAAAGAATGGCTGACAGCAAATCAGCATAAAGCTCCTAACAGATGATACACATAATCACCCCTATGGCTGCGTTTCTCAACCTTGGCACTAGGATAGATTTAGCACTGTTGTGTCTGTAGGATGTTCAGCAGCATACCTGACCTCTACCCACGAGATGCCAACCATAAGTCACGCAGGTGTGAAGGTATATAGGGGCAGGGAGCAGAGGGAAAAGTTACATGGGTTGGAAATGGCTGTTTTAAGGGAAGGGAAGCCGTAAAAAACCCAAAACCTTCTGTTTCCCAAGGGTACACGGCGATTCTGGTTCTAGGAAGTTATTCTCTGGGTTCTTCTCAACAAGGACAAGCGGAGACCCCAGGAAGAGCTTCATTACCATATTCCAGAATTTGTCGAATGCGACCAGGAAGCCTGTGCAGACGCCCCGGAGTCCCTTGAAGGTGCGGATGTGGACGTTCACCTTCACCCCCTCGCGGATACAGCGGTGGAGCTCACCCAGGGGGCTGCCTTCGTGCACTGAAACAGGAGGAGGGGCAGGTTAGCATGCACACCTGCTCCCACTCCCAAAGTCAGCAACCAAGGTCCCACACCAGAGTGGACACTACTTCATCGCTGTAATTTTGCTACTGTTATGAATTGGGCGACCTCTGTGAAAGGGTCATTCAACCCCCAAAGGGGTCGAGACCTCCAGCCCGAGAGCCGCTGGTATAAGAGAAAGTTACCTGCCGCGCCCTGGCTCCTGTGAGATCGCAAATACCCTCCAATCAAACCCACTGTCGCGGAGTCGACGACAACTCACTGTACCTGTCCGGGACACAGCAGACATGTGCCTTAGTTTCCACGGCTGTAAAGTCGTTATGGAAGCAGAGGGTCAGCATCCTCCCATGGCGTGGATGGTGGGTTCCTACACTGGGCCAGCAGAGCTCAGTATGAAGTTGCTAATCAGGGCTATGTAACAGGAGCAGTGGGGTGCAAAGGAAGAACATGGAAACAGTACACTTTCATGTTTACTTCCTGGGATTCTTTTCTCAGAGCCTTGGAGCAGGAATGAATTTACTTTATTTTCAAATATTAAAGAGAACATTTACTAAGTCTTGAAAGGGACAAAGACACAGACAGGTCATCTGAATGAGGGAAGACATCAGAAAGAGGTCCTAATGGCACCCCAGGATTCACAGCCAGGATGCGAGTTACACAAGGCATGGGGCAAAGGAAGTGTCACAAATTCATGGTTGGTGGCAGATCAACAGATCACAGGTAGGGCTCCAGCAGTGGGAACAGGACCAGGATTGTGACACGTACATTATGTTAGAAGAGCTCATATGATAGGCTCGGGGCCTTCTGACCAGGCAGTCAGGGCACGACTGATAGGACATGACTCATGACTGTCCATCCAGGATATACTCAGGCTAGACCCTAAGAGACTGCCCCTCCCTGGGCTGTCTGGATCGAGCTGGGGTAATCCACTTGTCAGTGCAAATCTGTCTGACTGTCCTTTTTGTTTCTTTTTTATTATTATTCATTCGATTGGCATATACTTCACAGATCACACAATTTAATCACTCAATCCCAGTAAGAAGAGTGTGTGATCATCACTACAATCAATTTCAGAACATTTTCTTCTCCTACTCATTGCTGTTAGCTTCTGGAGTGAATTTTATTTTCATTTCATGTTAACATAACTCTTACAATGTGCTAGGGATATCATATAACATCACCCTGTTATATGCACACAATGATGTTCACTCACACGCACAAATACACGCCTCCGTTTCTCTCCTTCAATTTTCCAAGACAAAGTCTTTGGAGAGCATTTGCCATTGACAGGTAACAAACAACAAACCCCTGTTTTGTTTCCAAGAATAAAAGAGCCCTGTTCTTTATTTTGTATAACTAGGTTGGCTCTTGACCTCCTTAGCACTCTTAGGTTGGCTTCTGAATGATAGTCATGCAAAATCATAAAAATATTTTTGGATTAAGACAAAACTGATTATTAGAAGTACTAAGATATGTTTAATCAAAAATTCAGCAAGAATGCACAATTGATGATTGATGTTACATTACAAGGGTAATGTAACAAAGAGGAATTGCTGAAACCCTGGTGGGGACTGAGCATGACAGTGGGACAGGAGGAAAGTCAAGGGAAATAGAGGAAAGAGCTGGGAGGCAAAGGGTATTTATAGAGCTCTAGATAAAGACATGTACATA